TGGTTTGCTGTTTATACCACCTCTTGTGGGCCGGGTCATGTTGTTTGGGGGGTTGTTGGGGGTGGCATTGATCATATCTGAGCTTGTTGACCTGTTTTTACCCCCGGCGGTCGTTCATATAGCAACATTTCATCTACACTACAGTCTGTGTATTGGTTCATCTCCCTGCTGGTGTGATCATTTTTGTTGGGCCTGGTCATTGGCAGAACAGGCACTGCCACGGGCATGCCAAGGCAAGTGCCACGTGCTCACCATGGTGGAAGCAACTGCTGGTTGGCTTGAAATATACCTTGCCAACCACGCCCCTGCCCAAAACACCATCTTAGGCCTCGAAAGGTCGATTTTGTGGTGCCATGGTGCTGCTGAAAGAATTGAATCAGACAATGGGACACGTTTCTGAAATAACCTTATGGACTCCTGGGCAAAGAAAGATGGTGTTGAGGGGGTGTATCACATCCTGTACTACCCACAAGCCTCTGGAAGGATTGAAAGATACAATGGACTGTTAAGGACTTTGTTGGGCAAATGGAGGATGGCAGCACTGGGATGATATTTTAGCAGAAACCACTTGGCTTGTTTCCACCAGAAGATCTGTTAACGGTCCAGGTCCTGCCCAAACAGAACCCCTGCGTACTGTGGGAGGGAAAATAATCCATCATGTGAGTTTTACGTCGCAGGAAGTGAGGCAGGAAGTACGACCTGAAATAAGGAAGGATGAAATTCCAAAGAACCTCATGAATGCAAGGATGAGCTGAACCTAGGTGGGGCTGGAGCCCAAGGATCAGACCATGGAACAGGGTAAGATGGGATGATAAGAAGAAATTTCAGTAATGGGAAATGAATACGATGTAATGGTTAAAGATGTGTGATGTGGGGCCTGAGCCTGACACAAATGGCCTGGAATAAGGGGTGGAGACTGTGTCAGGTCTGGCTGAGCTGATTTTCCCAGCAGTCCTCACTGTTCTGGTTTGTGCAGAGGATTGTGGTGTCACGCTGCATGAGGAGGAGGCTGTGTAGAGCTGGGACTTGGATGGTGAAAGGCTCTGTGATGTCATAGGTGGGTGAGCAGGAGATGGGGCAGGAGCAGCCCCCTGGTTTGTGCAGGGCTTTGTGATGACATCATGGCACGAACAGAGATGGATCAGGAGGAGGCTGTGGGTGATGCAGGGTTTGAGATGTCACCGGAGGGTGAGAAGATGAGGCAGGAGCAGTGTCTTCATTAGTGGAGCTCTTTCTGATGTCCCAGGGGTAGGAGCAGGAGCTGGGGAAGGGTTTTGGAGTGTGCCAGGATTGGTGACGCAGGAAGTGGGGCAGGAGCGACCAT